GTCTGAACTCTATGCCTGAGCTAGCCTGGAGGTGAAAGCAAAGAACAAATACAGGAGGTGACACAGGGAGACCAAGAGTCCATCAAGGAGGGACTTGGAGCCAGAGTGACCCCGAGACTGAAAGCCTCTGGGAATTCACAGAAATTGAGGCAAAGATATGGACCTCCCCCAGGATGCAGGTGAGGAGGCTAGAGTCCTATTAGCTACCCTTCAAGAAATGAGGTAAATCTAGCTAATGTATGATTTATAAAAACTTTATATGTATTTTTAATGTATTAGGACTTTAACTTTAACATATTAGGACTTGCAGTGGCTCACTTGCAGACTCTGTCTCTCAATCCTTATCTCCCCTTAAGGCCCTAAAGCTACTAATTCAGCATCCTATTCTAATAGAAATTCTTTGTTTATTTGTGTTTTTGTTTGTTTTTAGAATAATTGTTGAGATTGCGGAAGGAATGCTGTATATGTTGACAATTCCAGGAGATCCAGGTTTTACGGTGTCAAAGGGCAAGAAGAGAGAGAAGAGTAGATTCTGGGAAACATGGCAGAGTGAGAGATGTCCTCAGATCTCTCCCCTTGAAACAACAATAAGCTGAACATCTAAAACTCAACAAAAACACCCAAACTGCACACCAGCACATCTGAGCATGGGATCTGCGCATAAGAGCTACCACAGGTCAGAACCTCGGGTGTTGGGCAGTGGACTGGGAGAAATAAAGAAGCTGCCTCTCACAGCTGCTGGAGCTCCCTGCAGGAGCAGGGGGGAGGGGAAAAGGTATGGCGACTTCCCTGAACATCCCTGTCTGAAAGTACTGTAAGTTCCATGCAGCTGGCGGCAGGGCCTAGTCGTCATCAGGGCAGAAAGCAGAGAAGCGGGACGGGACCGCAGAGAAACAACAGTTAATTTTTACCAGCCCAGTTGCAAAACTGAGGCTGAGCCTCAGCCCCCAACTCCTAACGCAGAGGGCCCCTCCCCCCATACCCTCTGAGACCTATCACCACGGAGCCTCAGGGTAATTGGAGCAAACACTGCCGAGACTATAGCTGACACTGACAGGGACTGAAACTGAGGGTAGCAAGCATGATTAAATATCTACAAGAAAATAAAAAAGGCATTATTTAGGCTTTATATAAAGCGGAGATCCAAGAGGCTTAGACACCACCTCCTGGAAACCAAAAGAAAAGCGCCTTCTTTGCAGCAGGCTAAAGAGAGACCTTTATATAATAAAACTTCTTTCTGGAAAAACAGGAGAATACATTTCCATTAATGCCCAGGTGGAGAAATAGTCCATTAAACACCATGAACAACCAAGGTGACAAGACATCAGAAAGAAAGAGAAAAATCTCCAGAAAATAAGCTTACAGACATAGAAATATGTGACTTAAAGAATTCAGGATGGTGCTTCTGAGAGAGAAGAGTAAATGCAGACTTCCTTTGGGAAATTTCAGTTTGCCTTCCTGCCTGCCCATCCCCCACAAGAGGGCATAAAAGGTCTAGAATTGTTTCTGCTTTTCCTCCCTCTTCTCCCTTTCTCTACTTGTATCTTTCCAAGATTAAAATTGATAATGTGGACAAAGTTGAGGAAGCCACCCCATTTTAAAGTTTTAGACTCTAAAAGAAACCCAATTGTCTTTGCTCCTGCATTGGAGACATGGAACTCCTGTCTCAGGAACTCCTCCATGGAGGAGATGCTTTAGAGACTAAAAAAAGATAGGGAATATATAAAATGCAGTCACTTTAACCAAGCTGCTAGGAGTATTAACATTATGAAGTTTGAAGCATGAGGAAAGACCTTATTCATGTTCTAATTAGCCTGAGAACTTAAACTTTCTGAACTTTTTAGTCTTGTGTCAATGCCTGGACATACACCAGACCTCCAGATAACCCTCTGGTCGCCTCCTGAAGGACTCACATATCTGGATAACATCTGTTATCCAGACTATCAGGCATGACCAGATCTCCTGGGTCCATCCTCTAGATCACCAGGCAACTATCATCCAGACTGTCTGTCATCTGACAACATCCTGGGCCAATCCTAGGACTAAGAATGCAGGACTGATTGTTCTCAAAAATGTACTGTTTAGAAGAACTCTTAACTTTTCTTTCTTCTTTGAAACACTTCTGGGTTATTGCCTAGCTGTGTTTCCAGTTTGCAAACTCTAAGTCCCTTGAATAAATCTTTATCATTTATTTCTAGCCAAAGCCTCCAGACTATTTTTGAGTTCATTCAACAAGATAAATGTCTTCTGTCCCAACCTTTGCTCCTTTCTCATCAGAAACAGGAAAAGAAAGAGCACATGAAATACATCCGTGGTTCTCGGGCCTTGGAACCTCATGAGGCTCAAACGTCTGTCTAGAAAACTGCTTTTCTCTCCTTTATTGCTCATCTCGGTGTGGTTTTGATCTTTTAATGACCCCAGAGTTTTTCAGTATATTTTCAAGGCCTTCATAATTTTTCACACCCCTTCCTCCAGAAGCATCTCATAAGCCCTTGGTATCAATCAACCAAATCAAATCAATATCCACTTGTAGAGAGAAAAGATTTTTGGACTCCTTGCTGTAAAACTGGGTTAATGTATATCAATAGAACTAACTTATGTTACATTCTTACTGTGCACTGTGTGAAGTATTTTATATCTGCAAGGCCCCCACATTATGCACAGTCCCCCCTCTGGGTAGCAGGAGGTCTCACTTGTGCTATGTGGCCAGGCCAGCTGCCTGGGCTATCTGGATGGATTCACATAATAGACAGGACACTCAGAGAGGAAACACATATGCGATCAGCTGCCCTACAGCAAAGAAAATTGGGAGATTCAAACAATTTTCTAGATGATACGGGTAAAAGGATTCTGGCACCACTTTGTTTTCCTTTCTGCAGGTCATTGTCATTGCCCTTGTGATGTGGTAGAGCAGCGTTTATATCTGCATCATGCAATCAATGCCCCACTTAGGTGAGAAGAAGTGAATGACTGAAGGGGCATCTACCGCCTCTATCACCCCATAAAGAATGGCAGGGACAAGCTCAGGCCCCAAAGCTACAGAAGATACAGAAACATCACTGTAGCTGTGGACCTTACTAGCAGGCTTTGTGGCTCCCTTAAATCAGTGCACCTAGAACTGGGTCTGAAATGTATTCTTAGGGGTAGGTGGGTTCTATTTGAATTTTTAAATTTCGTGTTTTTCTTTTGATGATAATCTTAAAAAGATTTCTTTTATCAGATATAAGGGTGAAACTTTTCTATTGTTATAATTCAAAATTGAAATACATTTTTATGGAATAAAACCTTAGTTAATTAAATGTTTCTCAAACTGGAATTTTTATGGCTCCCCTGGGGCTCTACAAACATACAGATGAATTTTCATGGCTCCACAAGAAGCTATTTTCCCTTTAAAAGGGGTCCCTACTTTACTCCAGTTTGAAAGACATAGCTTGAAATTTCCTGTCCTCCTAGGCTCTTCCATTCTCCCTCCCTTGTTCCATAGCCACACCAGGGACAAGCCAGTAATGTGTGTGCGTGGTATGCGAAAGGCAGGCTGTGAAAGGAATGAACCGAATGTACAAAGGTAACAAAGGATTCTACATTCTCCCCATTTTGGTTTCCAGTGAAACCCAGGGTTAACTGAAGCAGAAACCACCAAAACAAAGTAAATTCCACCATTCATGACCACTTTTGTGATGATATCACATCCATACATACCATTTATTAGGCCTCCTTCAAACCCTTTGAACAGAGAGCACCAAATCTAAACCATTTTCCTCTCCCTTGGCTCAGGAGGGACACAGCAGACTTGACTTTCAAGGGGTGACTTTGTCCCTGAATGTTGTGCAGCGGTATGGTGACAGGGGGATGCCCTAGAAAGTGAGTGTGAGGCATCCGGATCCTGCATGGTGAGCAAGAGTTCTTCCCAGCAGGCTTGCTGTCTGCTGGGTCTCTGACGTTCTTATCCCTGAGCATGTGTGTGTGCACATTCACTTGTGTGTGTGTTTGTGTGTACGTGTGCATGGGCATATTCTAACCAGTACTCATCTCTTACCCTAGACACCTCCAAAGGACTCCTCATTAACCCATCTCCCACAAAGACACATTTACTCCAAAAAGCCACAGCCCCTAGTAGACTTGGTGCCAACAGGGCAGCTGCAGGGTTGGGGGTGGCTCTGATAGCCCTTGGGAGCATGTGTGTCAGGTCTCCTCTTATAGGGACATGAAGAGGCTGTTACTGCCTCTGACATTCCTTCGAAGGTTTAAATGGTAAAATAACTAATTTTGCCTTGCTCAAGACAGTGGAAATATGTAATAGAAACCAGTTCTGTACCATTTGTTAAGCAGATTTGGGATATGCTGGGGGGTGAAATCATATCCCTAGAAACAGTAAAGTCTCAAAAGAATACAATGCTTTAAAGAGTCCAGTCTTTCTACTCCCCTTAAGAGTGATACCTTTCTTTCCACAGGAAAGAACAGAAGACTGATTTTTAGACAGCCCAGAACTGCTTTTTACAGCAGCAGAGGAAGGCCTCCAGGCTTGGTTGACCTGAGAGAATGCTTCCCAGGAGTCTGCAAGCCCCCATGCAGGGTCCTGGACAATTCTGTATCATTCCTTCAAGCTCTGGTGGAGACAGAGGGTAGAGGTAACGTGAGAAGGAATTCCATTTACTGAGCACAATGACTCATACCTAACAGTCATGTTTGTTATTGGTTCTTAAGAAGGGCAAGGGCTTGTGGTCCCTAGGAATGTAGAAATGAGGGAAATGACTCTGAGAATTAAATCACGACATCAACACTGAATGAATCTGAAGCAGAGGACTCAGAGTCACCAGAGGGCAAAGGGGCTCAGCCCGACTAAAGGGATCCCCGAGCAGCGAGGCTGTCTGCAATGGCAGCAGCAGAGCAGAGTGGACCTGAAGGCCTGAGCCCTGTACCCAGAGAGTCCTCCTGCCCTGCTGTGCCTGTCAGGACCCACAAACAGATGGCTCCCCAGACCGTGCCTCTTAACAACTCACGGGTACTGCCGACATGATCCACACTGCTGTCTCGCCTGCTCCCCCTGCTCCCTGCACCAGTCAGTTCCTGCCGCGGCTTGTCGGGCCACAGGCCCCAGCGGACCTTTTGCCGGCCTGAAAGATGTTCCTTCTGGTCTCTTTTCCTTGGAGGGTAACTGGGGACTGAAAGCCCAATGTGGATGGAACGATGGTCTATGGGCACAGCACAAAAGAGGAAGAAAGAGAGAGTTACTAAGAACTGGCATTTCTCCTTCATATCCTCCAGTTACAAAGAGCTAAGGCCACCAAAGCAAAATGGAAGACATGGGAATTCTGGACAGGGCCACTGCCCCAAGGCTTGGGTTTGACAAAATTTCATTTCCGAACAATTCAACAGTTGCCGGAAAAGATAGCCCGGTGCTATAGTGAGAACTATGAGAATGAGCAGAACTCCCATATCCGCTGGGAAGCCCAAGTGCTATTAAAGCCCCCACAAGGTCTGCGTGCACAGAGGCAGCGGAATGCTCTCAGCTCGAAGGGAGGACGTTCTGCTACCAGGTTCTTATCAGAGTTGTCTTGAGTTAGTCAACAATTTTTAAAAATAATTAATAGATTTTTTAGTACAGGTTTAGACTTACAGAATAATAGAGCAGACTTCTGTAAACCTAGCCCACCATACCCCCACCTCCACAGTTTCCTCTATTTTTTCATGGAGGTATAATTGACATATAACACTGTATTCATTTAAGGTATACAACTTAATGATTTGATATATGTATATATTGCAAAATGATCACCACAATAAGTTTAGTTAACATCCATCACCACACACAGTTATGATTTTTTTTCTTGTGATGAAAACTTTTAAGATCCACTGTCTTAGCAACTTTCAAATATACAGATAGTTAACTATCTTCCCCTTGCTGTACATTACATCCTCAGGACTTATTTATCCTACAAGTGGAAGTTCGTACCTTTGACAACCTTTGCCCACTTGGCCCACTTCTCCACCACTCACCTCTGGCAAACAGAAATCTGTTCTCTGTTTCTATGAGTTTGGTTTTTTAAGATTCTACATGTAAGTGAGATCACACAGTATTTGTCTTTCTCTGTCTGACTTATTTCATTTAGCATAATGCCCTCAAAAGCTATCTATGGTGTTGCAAATAGCAGGGTTTCCTTCTTTCTCATGTCTCAGTATATATATACACACACCACATTTTCTTTATCCATTCATCCATTGTTGGACACAGGTTGTTTTCATATCTTGGCTATTGTAAATAATGCTGCAATGAACATGGCTGTGCAGATATCTCTTTAGGACAGTGATTTTGTTTCCTTCAGATATATAACCAAAAGTGGGATTGCTGGATCATATGGTAGTTTTATTTTTAATTTTTTGAGGAATCCCTATACTGTTTTCCATAGTGGCTGCATCAATTTACATTTCAACCCACAGTGTACAAGGGTTCCTTTTTCTCCGTGTCCTCACCAACATTTGTTAACACTTGTCTTTTGATAATAGCTATTCTAACAGGTATGAGGTGATCTTTTGTCCTCACCAACATTTATTAACACTTGTCTTTTGGTAATAGCTATTCTAACAGGTATGAGGTGATGGCTCATTGTGGTTTTAATTTGCATTTCCCTGATGATGAGCAATGTTGAACACTTTTTCATGTACACGTTAGTCATTGGATGTCTTCTTTGGGAAAATATCTATTCAGTTCTTCTGACTTTTTTAATTGGATTGGTTTTGTCTTTTTGTTTTTGTTTTTCTGTGGGTTTTTTTTTTTTTTTTGCTATTAAATTGTATGAGCTCTTTATATATTTTCAATATTAACCCCTTAACAGATATGTGACTTGCACATGTTTTCTCTCACTCTGTAGGTTGCCTTTTCATTTTGTTGATGGTTTTCCTTTGCTGTACAGAAGCTTTTTAGTTTGGTGTAGTCCTACTTGCTTACTTTTGCTTTTGTTGCCTTTGTTTTGGGTGTCAAATCCAAAAACAATCATTGCCAAGCCAGATGTCAGGGAGCTTATTCCCTGTGTTTTCTTCTAGGAGTTTAGGTCTTACATTCAAGTCTTTTATCCATTTTGAGTTGCTTTTTGTGTTTGGTGTAAGACAGTGGTTCAGTTTTATTCTTTTGCATGTGGCTTTTCAGTTTTCCTATCAGTATTTATTGAAGAGACTATCCTGTCCCCATTGTATATTCTTGGCTTCTTTGTTGTAAATTAATTGAACATATGTGCATGACCTTATTTCCGAACTCTCTAGTCTATTCCATTGATCTATATGTTTATTTTTATGCAAATATCATACTGTTTTGATTTCTATAACTTGATAATACAGTTTGAAATTAGGATGCATGATGCCTCCAGCTTTGTTCTTCTTTCTCAAGATTATTTTGACTATACAGAGTTTTTTCTGGCACCATACAAATTTTAAGATTATTTGTTGTATTGCTGTGAAAGATACCATTGGAATTTTGGTAAGGTAGCATTGAATCTGCAGATTGCTTTGAGTAGTGTGGACGCTTTAACAATATTAATTTTTCCAAACCATGAGCATGAGATCTCTTTTCATTTATTTATCTCTTCAGTCTTTTTTATCAATATCTTATAGTTTTCAGTGTACAAGTCTTTTACTTCCTTGGTTAAATTTATTTATTACTAAGCATTTTATCCTTTTTGTTGCAATTGTAAATAGAATTGTTTTCTTTGTGATAGTTCATTATTAGTGTATAGAAATGCAACTGACTTTTGTATATTGATTTCATATCCTGCAACTTTACTGAATTTATTAATTCTAACAGTTTTTTAGTGGCTTCTTTAGGGTTTTCGGCCTATAAGATCATGCCATCTGCAAATAGAGTCAGTTTTACTTCTTTCTTTCCAATTTGGATAACTTTGATTTGTTTTTTTCTGTCTAATTGCTCTGATGAGGCTTACAGTACTATGTTAATACAAGCGGCAGGAGTGGGCATCCTTATCATGTTACTGATCTTAGAGAAAGAGCTTTTGGCTTTTTAAGATCTACATTAACTTGATATATTTTTTCCCCTGGAGGGGTTTCCTCTTAGCCTAAACTCTTGAAATGCAGATGTTAGATGCCTGGGCATTCATTGACTGTAGATGTCACACAGAAACCACATCAAGCTGAACCTTGGAGAGTCAGCTGCCCTGCATGCTCCCTGGCTTGTCCTTCACTTGGTCTATGCCCATGGATATCTCCCTTTCTGGGACTCAGTGTCCTCATCTGTGATGTGGGAATAAAAAATTATTTCTGTACTTGCCGGGCAAGGTTTTTGAGAAGATAGAATGGGATGGTGTATGGGAACATGATTATGAAAATTATAAGGGGCTATATACATAAAGAGTATGCTTATTAAAGAAATCAGGGGAGGTTGACTGTCAGGGAAATATTTTACTTTCTGCCTTGGATATACCTTGTCCTGTTTTTTCCTGGCTCCCATTATAATCATCAGTGGGTAGCCATTTAGCTGGTGAACAGTAGGGAGTGGCTAACCCTCTCCCAAGCTTCCTTTTGCTCTGCGGGACCTCTCCTCTCACTGTGAACAGCTGGGCAGTGTGCTCAGGACAATGCCAAGGTCTCCTAGGAACTCCTCACTGCTTCCTTCTCCACTGACAGCCCCAGAGTGGCTCTACACATTCTGCAGCTCAGTGATCATCCAGCTGGGCAGCGAGATTAATGTTTCCCTCCCAATGGAGCTGGGGTAGTGGTGGGGCAACAGCCTGTCTATTGCCTCTTCATAAGCCCTTTGGCTGCTTCTCTGTTGAGTGTAAGGTCCTTAGGGCCTCTGAGTCAGCAGTTCTGGAGCAAGAGAAATACCCCTGCTCAACAATCTCTTGCACTGGTTTTAACTGAGCTGTCACTTTTAGAATCCATAAAATGGTAATTTTGGCATTTTGTATGGTTTGTAGATCTTGTAAAATTAGGCAAATTTAATTTTGTGCCCTAATCCATAGAAACAAAGTGCCAGTTTCATGTCTTTAGCCTGATTATGTGGTTCCTTTAAGGCGGAGTGAAAGCTGGTTCCCTTAGATCTAGAGAAGACACTGTGGGTAGGTCAGGGAAAGGAACCAGCTCTTTAGATTTCTAGTTAGAAGGGCTGTTGTAAGAATATTCAAGGAAGTCTCAGACCCTCCTAGGATTTGCATCAAGTTCTCAAAGTGACCTTACCTTCCTGATTCTGACATCGCCTCCTGTAGTTAGCAGGGTCCAGCGTCCCTACCCCAGCCTTCTTCTCCTCCACCTTCATAGCTATAAAGTAAAAGATGAACACAACCTCAAAACGTATGCAACACAGTAGGGTAGGATTTCAAGGGGAAATGGTCAAATCCACATTCATAGTAGGAGACTTTAATGCAGATTTTAAAAAAGGCAAAAGAATATATAAACAAATTGAAGAAGCTCAACTCTATCATTCTCTATCATTCTCTATCCAACAGATAGAGAATGCACCTCTTTTTCAAGTACAAATGGAGCATTTACAAAGAAAGCACATATACTAGATCACAGAAAAACCTTAGTAAATTTTGAAGAATTTGTATCATACTTCTATAGTAAATGTATATGTATAGACACATATATGTTTGGAAATTAAAAATATTTTTCAATCATGGCTTTAGTAGGAAATCACAATGGGAATTATTAAATATTTAGAACTCAACGATTACAACTATTATATATTGAAACTTATGGGATGCAACATACATAAAGGGAAGAAGGAAGAAAGGAGGGAAATAAATATGATAAGCATTCAGCTAAAGAATCTAGAAAAAGAACAAGAGAGAAACCCCAAAGAAAGTAGAACATAAATATAAATGATAAAAGAAAAAATAATGAAATGGGAAATAATCAAGCTTAGAGATGGTTACTAAATCCAAAAGGCAAGTATTTGGAAAGATTATCAAAGTAAGAAACCATGCAAGACTAATCAAGAAGAAAAGAGAATATTCATAAGTAAACAACATTAAGAATAGAATAAAAAAGAGACATAATTAAAGATATAATAGAAAAAATAAATTATAAGTGAATGCCATTAAAAACTTTATGTCAATACATTTAACTTAATAATAATAATAGCTACCATTGCAATATGCCAGACACTATTTTAAATTTTCTGCATTTATGAATTAATTGAATCTTCCCCACAACCCTATGAGATAAGTAACATTATTATTTCCATCTTACAGGTGAGGAAACCAAGGCACAGAAAGCTTAATTGACTGCCTAAATGGAGGAACAGGGATTTGAACCCATATACTCTGTTTCTGGAACTATAGCTCTTAGCCACAAGGCTAGTAAATGGGTACTTTATTAGAAAAAGAATAGAAATGATCAAAATTTACTTTAGAAAAATTAGAAAATCTGAATTAACCAGTACCCACTAATTGAAATGATTATGGGAAAGGCGTCATAATCAGCCACATATATTGATAATTATTGGAGCTGGATTATAGGTACAGAAAGATAATCCTATTATTTTGTCTATTTTTGTTATGTTTGAAGTTTTTTCTATAATAAAAGAAAAATAAACACCAGGAGCAGATAGTTTTGTCTGAGCCTTCAAGGATTAGATAGCCTCTAACTTATACAAAATGGTTCTCAAAAGTAGAAAAAGAGGAAATTGGAGGCAGTAGATATACCTGAAGACCAGGATTTAAAGTGGGACTTAAAACAAGAGAGTTGGTTAAAAATCTCCATAAGGAGTCAGTTAAACACTCAGATTTCTCCTAGGCTCCAGTCTCCTAGAACTCCACCCCCCGCCCCTCAGGTAGATGGAGGGGTTAAGCCAGACGGATCCCAGAGAGCTAAGGGCAAGGAGTCATTTCATTGAAAAAAAAAAAAAGGTCTAAGTAAAGGCAGTTAGACTCGCAGCCCTCTGTCTGCTTTACTCTTAGAACACTAACAAAGCGTTCATGCTCCAGGCAGGAGACTGGAGGACTTACAGATTCTGACAATTTGGAGACCTCTAAAAAAATGGCGAGGGCTGCACCCAATTGTTCACCATGGTCTATCATTCAACAAGCACAGCCTGTCAAACAGCTATTTGGCAGCTCCACCCCAATATATAATGGCCAGCCAAGAATCACCAGAATGACAGAGACCAAACAGGAAAAGAGGAAGTCTGAGGAAACAGGAGCAATACAGGCAGCCAAAGAACCATTTTTAAAAACATATAATCAACATCTTCGAGTAGACTAGTAAAGACATTGTATCTATGACAAAAAGAAAAATGGAATGCTATAAACCTGGAACTTTAAAGAATAAGAAAAAACTCTTGGAAATTAAAGATATGTTAGAAGTAAAATTTCAATAAAAGAGTTGGAACAATAGTTGAAATAATATGTTAGATAATAGAACACAAATACAAAGAAAATTTTTAAATAGTAGAAAAAAGACAAGGAAATCAAGATCAATCCAGGGGATTGAACAGCAAATAAGAAAACTTTCCAACATCTATTACTTCCTCTTTCCTCCCATTTATAGAAAAAAGAAAAACATTTTGTTCAGGTAGAGACACAGGGCCCTTGATGATGGTAGACATCTTCCCCAATTCAGAGCATGAATTATGATCTGTCTACACCATTCATAGTAATCTTATGGCCCTTGGCCAATAACTGATCTTAGGAATAGTCATGTGACCCTATCAAGCCAATAAGATTTAAATGGGTAGGGCTTCTAGGAAAGCTTTTATTTTCCTAATAAAAAAATGCCGGACACAGCTGGAGTGCACGTTTTGCCCTTTACCCTCCCCCTTTTCCTGCATTGACATTGGACGTGAGACTTCTAGATGAAGCAGCCATCTGGCAACAGTGATGTGACAGGTATGAAGACCAAAGACGCAGGCCAAGGACAAAGCAGGCTAGAACAAACCTGGGTTCCTGATAACATCACTGAGCTGCAGATGGCTTATATCTCGGCTTCCTGATATGTGAAAAAAAAAATCTACTTTATATATTTAAACTGCTAGCCAAGTTTCATTATTTTTAGCTGAAGGCCTTCTGAACTGATACATAATGGAATGCTACAGGGAGTTCAAATCAATGAACTAGATCTCTATGTATCAACATGTATAAATCTCAGAAACATAATAAGTAAAAAAACAAGTTGTAAAAAGGTACAAACAAAATGACATTATTTATATAAAACTTTAAAATACACAAAACTTTAAAACACACAATATTATCTATTGTTACATTTATAAGTAACAAAAGCATGAAATCCTGCAGGGGATTGAGACACACTGTCTTCAGGTTACCACTGGGAAGAGGTAAAGCTGTATCTTTGATGTTTTGGATAGATATAGATGTGAAACAAATATGATAAAATGTTAACATCTGTTAATTCTGGACAGCGATATATGAATGTGTATAATTCAACAAGTTTGAAGTATTTTATTATTAAAAATTTTAATGTTTTCTTAAGAAATAAGAGAACTCTCCACTATGACATAATTCCCTCAGATAAAATGGGCCAACTGAGTACTCTGCACAAAGAATGATTGGAGTAGGGGAGACAATCCTCACACTTTAACACGTTGTTGTAAAATTTTAGAACATTAAATGTGAAGAAAATAAAAATAAAAAAATCTTCTAGAGTGAAAGAAACAGAAACAAGTCACCTACACATGAATATAAATCAGTCTTTGGTCAAGCTTCCAGTCTGCCTTTCTTTCAAACAAAAAAAAAGTGAGGATAGAAGATATTTTTGGACATGCAAGAAATTATTTTACTTTCTCTGCTAACCTCCTAAGAAGTTACTCAGGTATGTTACAACCATGAACAAAGAAAGGGAAGACAATGGAACCCAGGAGACAGTGGTTCAGCCAGAAGAACAACAAAGGGTGGTCCTTAGATGACAGCTGTGCGATAGCCCTAGAGAGCAGTCGGTCCTCAAAAGAGCTAAAAGTGAGGTTTCAGAAGGAGCCCCCCCGCCCCCCTCCACCAAAGAAGACGAAATGCAAGAGATTTGACATACTCCTTGAGAATTTGGAACACCTTAAGGGAGTGACAAAGATTAAAAAAAAAAAAAATGCAAAGAAAAAGAAAGGCAACCAGAAACACCAGGGGAAAATTAAAACTGCAAGAAATAAAATGTGATCATGGTACCTAATCATGAGTATAAATACTAATTTTTGAATTAACTAAAAACTGATGATATATCTACATTGGGAAGGCAAAGAAGAGAAGATGGGTGTAGAGGAAGATAGTTAAATATTCACCTGTTAGATGTCTAATTTCTAACTTGGATAAACAGCAGGATACATATAATTAGAAGGACAACCAACAGAAAAAGCTAAAAGAATTCCAACTGGTTGTCTTTGGGAAATGAACTGTGGGGTGTGTGGAAAGCTAGGATGGCGTTCTATTGCTTTTTATTATAAGTTCTTATATATATTAATTGATTTTTACATTATGGTTTCTGTATTATTTTTATTTTAAACATTTTTAAGGCAAATAATTCAGTATGACACATGTGATCCCACTATATGTGATAATTGTATCCTCTGAAAATCCATGCTTAAATCTATATGTTCAAAGTCAATCATGTTTAAAATGCTCAGGAGAACTCAAAACAATCTTTAAGACAGTGGTTCTCAGATTTGAGCATGCATCCGGGTCACCTGGAGAGCTGGTAAAAATCTAGATTGCTGGAATCTACCACAGAGCCTCTGATTTAGTGGATCTGGGGTACAGCCTCAAAGTTTACATGCCAGCAAGTTTTCAGTTGATGCTACTACTGCTGATCCAGGGACTGTGCTCTGAGAACCACTGTTTTAAGGAATTAGCTCCCGATTTATATTTTCTATTAAATTGAGTCTCCATACACTGAATTTGCTTCATATACATAATAATATCACATTTTTCCATTCGAACTGGGCACTGTGAACTGGCAAGCTTAGTGAGAAGGCACTGGTAGCCTCATATAGGTTAGTAACTATTTTGAAAGTTGATACCTTCCTCCTACCTGGTATGGCATGAAGAGTGAAAAGAAGCTGATCTTCTTTCTTACGGAGAATCACCTCCTCATGGTTTCAGTAGGGCTGACTCCATCTCTCCCCAGCCTCAAACAAGAAAGGCCATGTGCCCCTGCTTGGCCCATCAAACGCTCCTGATTCCCCAGCTACAGAGACTGGAATGAATCTTTGCCCAAAGCTCGGCCAGTGGGAATTCTTCCCAGGACATTTCCACTTGATCCATACAAAAGTGCTGCTTGGACTCTACCCTGGCCTTGTGAAGCTGATAAGCAGAG